ATTCCCATGTGAACAGCCTCTTGCGGGGGCAGTAGAAATGATGACTTGAACTTTTTTTTTTCTCAGGAAACACTGAAAGATCTCACAGGAGAAAAAATGGGATAACCCTTCTAGAGACAGGATCTGCAAGTCATGCTGCAGCAGCTGACCAGACAGAAGAAGCCTCACCATGACCTTCCAAGCCACATGCCTTCTTCTGGCCTTTCTGCTGCTCAGATAAACACAACCAAACCGCATGCCTGCTGCTGTCCCATCAGGTACTCGAGCAGAAAGGACACAACAGCCATATCCAAGCCCTCTTCCTGGACAGGCCTACCAGGTACTTTGGGAAAGGGATTCCCACAATCACATTGCCAACCACATGCCTTCTGCTAGTATGGCACATGTGAACCTAAAAGCTCATATCCCAACCATGATTCAAGGGCTGAGGTGTCAGGTGCTTCAGGAAGAGGTGACCTCACAGTCCCTTTCCCAGCCATGCTCCTGCTCCTGGCCTATCAACTCCAGAGACAGATGTGACCTCACAGCCACCTTCATAGCCTTGTGCCTCATCTGGCCCATGAGATCCTGAGGCACAGCTGACCTCATCATAGCATTTCCACCCATCTCCTCCTTGTAGCCTACGAGCTGATCAGATGCACGTAACCTCGCATTCCTCTGCCAACGGTGTGGGACTGCTCTGGGATGTCACAATCCCTGTCCTGCCTTCAAGGGGCCAAACAGCTGAAAACTGGGTTAGGAGAGGGGACAAAGTTGAGGGCGTTAGAGCATGGGAAGGAGGGGTTTAGGGGTTAGATGTTCAGGGTAGGGCTTAGGGAATAGACTCACCTGTCTGGCTTAGGGATTGGGAAAAGGCTTAGAGTGTGGTGTTCTGCTGAGGGTGTCTGGTTCATGTTTAGGGTCTGGTCTAGCTTTGTGGATTTGGGTTTTGTTTAGCCCTGGGGTGAGGGAAGTGGTTAAGGCATCATAATAGTAGGGATGAGGGGATTGGGGTGATCAATAGGGTAAGAGGAAGAGGGGTTATGGGTTCTGGCTTTGGGTTAGAGGTAAGGTCTGAGGTTAGGGATACCATACAGCCAATCATTGAGATGGGATTAAATCAGAATGGAACGGTACTCTATCCAGTGGAGCACAGAGCGTGGGCCCAACAAAAGGGAAACAAACACCAGACTGTTGATGTCGATAGATGCGTTGTGTGAGAAGAACAAGGATTGATTTGTGCAAGCAGTGCCATTAAAGCCCAGGACATTTGTCCTGACACGGAAAAAAGTGGTGTATATTGGAGATGGGTGTGTGTGTATGAGAACCTGCTGTGACTTTATAGCTGTAGGCAGTATCACTGTAGATAGAAGAAATCACTCAACTATCCATATCTCTAATTGTACTGAAATTCTGGCATGTGACTTTAACTCTTCAGTTCCTATCACATCTCATCAATTGTTACAATTGAAACATAGGTCATATCAAGACTTGTTACCTGCCCTCATTAGAACGCATCTTACATAGGTAAGAAAGCTGTTACAGAGTGATGATCCCCACTGGTTGCTGAAACAATTTCAAGGAAATGGACAAACAACCCTGATCACTGGTCATCATGATGCAAAGGAAATACACTATGTTCTGGGAAGAGTGAAGAAGGATGGAGAACATCATTGGTGGGATACCTTATCAGATGTTCACTGACAGCAACAGGAACTTTTATTCTAATGCTTCATCCAGTTGTGATATATTAGCTCTGACAACATTTTAATATTTATAATCATTATCTGCGTAAAGGTTTGGTAGGTAACGAAGCAAAACCTCCCTGTGCATCATGTGATCTCACCCAATAATGCAAAAAAAAAAGGTAATAAATAGATTTAATAATATAAAATAATATAATAATATATTAATATTTTACATAAAAAGCTCTTTACTTACTGTGGATCTACAAGCGTGCCAACATGTTATGTCAAACGTTTATAGCGTAGAGGCAAGAGGTAACTGTACCAGCAATCTATGGTGTGAAGGAATTTGACTGTAGTCATGGGATGGAGTATGACGGACACTCGACCCCCATCCATACCCCCAGCTGTACTTTGGTTTTGGCTGACTAAGGAGCAACAGGCCTCATGCCCTGTGGTGAACTTGTGAGCTGGAAAGCTCCTGGCTCACCTAAAAGGGAGTGAAGGTGCCTCAGAAAAGTAGTTTGAAAGGTGGTTTCAAAGCCCCACATTGCAACATAACCGAAGTCCAGAACAAGAAACTGGAGCTAAAGCGAAGACATCGATTTCGTCTCTGTTATTGACCAGAAGTCACCTCCTTCACTCTATCAATATTGCCATCAGGATGAGCCCAGTCTGAGCTCTCCTGGAATTGCAGCTGGGCTGCATGCCAGATGACTCTCCCCTTGAGCAGGGACACTGCTCACGGTTTGGGACTCCTTCTCTGAGACTCAGAGATCCTTTCCTACCCAAGGCAGGGAGATTCCTTGCTCGCGACAGGTCCTCAGTAAGTGACTGATCGCATGCTGAATTAATACTGATGAAACATTACCCATCCCTGCAGATACTCAATGATATTATGAACTTTGCATAGATAATTCCATTAGGCATAAGCTGTTGTCCAAGTCTGAGACTAAGATTGGACCTACCCACACCTAGGCTCCATAAGGACTTTAGAGAACAAGGGGGTCCACTCTGGACCTCGTGACTCAATGGGAGGGTCTTCCTTACCTTTTTGTGTCTCTGGTCTCTGTGTGAATCATTCTAACATGATTCTAACTCAATTTTCCTTTGTATGTTTCTTCCGTGCAGTCATTAATAAGGTGACCCTTGCCATCAAGCTTATGGAACCTTGTCAAACCCCTGTTAAACTTGGTTAAATTCCACCAAGTTTATTGAACTGTCAAATGATTATTTTACCTCAGTAAAACGTATTGCTGCTTCTCTCTTTTGAGTGAG